ACCCCCCCCCCCCCCATCGCTTCCTTCAGTGTTCCCACAGGAGGAAGGGTCCCAACGAGGGTCCCCCCCAAACCCAACTAGGCTATCTCCCATGGGGTCTCTGAAACTCCGTAGGACTAACTTTTATGTCAAGTGTTAGTCATCACTTCATGAGTATCTCTATAACAAGTTAAAGTGCTAGGACAGTGCCTCAACAACACTGATCTTAAAGGCACAGCCACTGTTACCTTCTCTATAACAAAGACTAATTTTCTCAAGGACATAATGATGTGCATTTTGGGGGGGCTTATTTCCCTCTTCAAGCTGATTTTTACACTAAGTCAACACAGATTCCCTTGCTTCCCCCTAATCATTAATCACTGCTGAAAACACAGATTCTAGTCTTGAACTAATTTTTTTTTTTTTAATTGCAGTTCTCTACACCAATATGGGGGGGGGAGAAAAAGTTAAAAAAAAAAAAAAAAGTTTCCAGTTTGGCACTCCAAGAGTCAAACCCACAATAATTTTGCACAGTTAAGTAATAAAGCCACAGGGGTAGGAGTGACAAGAGGAGAGGTAGAAGTATTACTACTACAGCAGAAGCACCAGCTGCTCTTGTGCCAGATTCTGGAAACATCACTTGCCCTAACTCCACTGAGAAAGACTGCTTGTGATGGTAATCACTCTGGCACTACCTATCTGCACAATCAACCTTCTAGTTCCCAGAGAATCTCCAAAAATCACCCTGCCCTTCAACCCACTTGCCTTTTGTAACACAAACATATTGTGACACATCCCTTAAAACCAAACAAAAACCCCACCAAAACATTACACATACCACTTTCCCCTTGGCAAAGGATGAAAGAACAAGCCACATGTGAAAGATATTCAGTTATGCCATTTACTGGCAGGCACACAGTCATGATGGCGATGTGAGCAGCGTAACAAACAGCACAGAATAAAAATGTAACTTCCCAGCACTTCTAGAAAGCATAATGACTGGCATCCTTATAAACCACTGAGGATTTTCTATTATTTTTATTAATACTCACACCAGCAACACATTACATTCCATTAAGAAATATAAGGAGAGGGGACACAGTAATTGTTTTCCTCTACATTGGTTCTTGTATTGCTCTTAGGATATCCTAGAAGGATGTGGGGGTTCAGTACTGCATTGCAGAATGGTTTCCATTTGCAGTGTAACATATGCTGCAGGGAGTTCAGAATTCTATCCACAAGGTAAAAGAAACACATTGGTAAAAGAAAATGCTGTTTTAAATGAAAGGGGGAGACAATAACAGCAAGTAGTTACCCTCGTGTCTCAGGTGTGTTGCAGGAAACTTGTACCGGTCACATGCAACTTAAAAATTTGCATTCCCCACCTAATTAAAAAAAATCTGGAGCACTGAAAGTGTGTTGTTGTTTTCTACTTGCATCTGTTGTATGTATTGACTTCCTCATGTAAAATAATTTGTACAAAAATAAACTGATTTTAGAGCTCTGTTGTAACATGACTAAAAGACAATCTAAAAGGCAGTCCTCATATCTACGTATTGTCTAGTATAAAGCTGTAGAGGTATACTGTTCAAAGAGACTATTTTTGATTTTCCAGATTTCTAATATCTAGCTGACCTACTAGATACCAAGGAAATAAGCCTCAATATGACATGTCAACCAACAGCTGAGGATTTTTTTTGAGGCAAGTTGTTCATATGCACATTCACTCCACTGCACATATTAGATCATTTACACTAAGGACTTTTTAAACCACAGCAGCATCCAGAGACAGCTTGCTGATGATCCTCTGCCATGCACCGCACCCACAGTGTGCACATGGATGCTGGGAGCAGTCACACCTTTAGTTTCTTGTCATCCCACATTCCCAGGGTTAGGTGATTAGGAGATGTGGAAGAAAGCTGCAAAGTAGCTGCTCTGTGGACAGACAGAAGAAATGTCTGTCTAGGAAACAAGTATCTACTGGCAAGTAATAATGCTTTCTCTTTGAGTGATTGTCAATACATACATATTCATACCCTGGGTGACTCTAAGCACTCTTTCATTAAGCACACAGGTTACAGGCTTGATAGGAATATCCCTGGAATATTTCTGCTAAATGGCACATCATGCCTCCTAGCGTCTCATAGAGAGGTACTCGGGAAAGGACGCTCCAGATGGCTGCTCTACACATCTTGGGGATATTAAGTAACAAATTCTACGGAAAGACTCTGAACTTTCATAAACTATAAATTGAAGATTTTGCCTTAAAGAAAAATACTTCATCCCTGCATGCACAAAAGATTAATCTCTTGATTTAAGCAGATCACAAGACAAGTGAAACCGGTAATGTGACTCTTTAAGCCTGTAGGAGAAAGTCTGCCTTAAACTCCTGAACCTCTGTCATGCTCCTGGAGTGACCATCAACAAGGTCACGTTCACTTAAGGATGCAAAAGCAAACAAGTGGGAATAATCTCAAAGAGCTTCCTAAAAAGAGATGGCAGCAATGAAAGTTCTACTGATGTCTCAAAGTAGAAGAAATGTCCTAAACCATGAGGGAATATACCTGCAGCCAAATGGGAAACAAACAGGGCCGTCTTCTGTGGTAGGGCAACAGGGTGAAAACAGCTGCAATTTTGTGTAGCTTCAAACCATAGTCCAAAGCAAAGACAATCTCCCTAAAACAGTAAGGTCTAGGTGCTCCCCATGCAGAGACACTGACCCAATTAGCTGTAGACATACATAGCAGATTCCTCCTGTTGCTGTTGCTGAAGATGACAACTCTCTTATCTAATTTGTCTCAGCACCATTTTTCCCCCCTCAACTTTCCATGGAGGGAGACAACTGGAGGAAAGGCTCATGTGAAGAAGGCCAAGCATGGGAAGATGAATACAACCAGTACCCATTATAGGGACAAGACAGCTCTGGAGTGGAAGAGCCAGCACTTCTCAGAGGTGTCTGAGATGACTAGAAGAATCCCTGGGGAGCCACTAATTATAAAGTAAAAGCTTTTAAAATGCCACAACAAGATGTCCCACTCTTGGTCTGATAGCCTGAAATGCCTCAGATCTTCCACTTGGTTCAACGCTCCAGGAACACAGACATACTGCTGTCACATGAACCTGACAGAAGCTTCATTCCTCCCAAATAAAAAACACATTATGACACAATAGGAAGAATCTAGTGACACCCTGTTTATCAAAATCACTGTCATGTTGTTGTACGTTGACTGCTGCATGATGGCGACAACGTGTGGGAAGAATATTTGGTACACACACACCCAAAGAACTCAGCATTGCTGCCCACAGCTGTGTAGATGGGACTTCTTTGGGGACCCAACAGCCTGAGCCCTGAAGACTGTCCAACTACACAGAACAGATCCAGAGGAACGGAGAAGTGTCCATGACTGTGACTGATGATGGCAGTAAAGGCTAGATGCCACCAAAGGGACCAGAATCGACTGAAAAAACACACGCCACATATATTGGGAGTCTTTTGGGAACATAAACAGGCTGGCATCTTGGTTGCAGGCTGCTCATAGTGAACTTGACATGACATGTCAAGCTACTCTGGACTAAGAAACACCAGTTTATATCTCCCTGTCCCTGGGATGAGAAGGAACTGACTCTTAGTCCCCTATATTTTGTGGTCAGAACACCTGCTGCATTCTGCCAGAGCAGGTTCTCTCTGGAAAGGAAAGAAAATCTGAGTTTGGAAGACAACAGTCTAGGTAGGATGGGACTTGTACAGCTTTCTACAGCAAGAAGGGAGCAATTATTTCTAGAGCAGAGAATGAAGAAAGGAATATAGGCTGAGTCTCTTAGAGCAAGTTGTATATGGACAACTAGATGGATAACAGGCGTTTTATATCCCTAGTTACTCTGACTCCCCCCATGATCCTAAGGGAATTCACAGCTGAGGAACAGACAGGAAATGAAGCCAAAGATCCAGAGGCCAGAACCTAATCCATATATATTGGTATCTACAAAGCTGAAACAACTCACTTCTGCAGCTCCAGAAACATCTGACAACTTTATAAGAGGGAGAAGGGGCCTGGGATAGTGGCTTTATGGCTTCTATGGCCAAATACAGAAGATCACACAATGTCCCTGTGAGAAATACAAACTGTGAGACTACACCACAGTCAAAGTATGACAGGACTTTGATCTCCACCCACACCGGCCTCTGTGGACTCTGAAGGCAGAAAAGTCATGTTGTGAGTAAACATTCAGCTTGTCCAGAGAAAGAGAGCAACCACAGGTGGGAACTGCAGCTCAGAAATGCACCCTCATTAGACTTGCCATTAGAAATCCCTGGGCTGCACCCTGGGCTGCTCCTGCTCAGTGTGGTAGTTCTCCACCACCGTTAGAGTGGCTCCTGGGGTTTGGTAAAAGGTAGCAAATGCTCCTAGGTATTTTCTGTGGGAAGAAAAGTCTTGGAGCTTTGAACAGGAAAGGTTGAGTACAGCTTCAAACTTGGGAATTAACCATGATTGGCATTTCAAGCAGTTGCAAACTAAGAAAGTCATGCACCCTTATTTTTTTGATAGCTGCAGATGGAAGCCTGTATATGTGGACATGGAGTGGAGGATCGCAATGATGCTTGCTGTCTTGGTGCTCCTTTCTGGCCTTATGGCCAAAGTCTTATCAGATTAAAAACTTACTGGGGTTGTATTTCTTACTCAAATGAAACAAGAGTGGGCATGTCAGTCTGGAAAGGGGATTAACACCTACTACATGGTGCAAGGTGAGACTGCCAGAAGGCTTACCGAGGAAGTCGTAAGAGCAAAAAAAAGAATGGAAGAGATACAATTAAATTATAAAGATTAGTGCTAACCAAGAATAGCTGTGATGCAGTGAAGATTGTAGTGAAGGAAGTTCTGACATAAACCAGCATCCACGTGGAACAGGGGCACTTGACATGACATGTTACTCATTTATACCACATGAGTACTAGTAACACACCTGATAGGTCTAAAAATCTCTGGTTCAACTCTTAGGTGGTAGCCCCCAGTGGCAAATACACATAAAGATGTGACTCAACAGATAACATCCATCTTCCAGTGGCAACTGGATCACTGCTATTGCTACGTCAGTACTGCATGCAATTATTGTATTTAATCAAAATAAAATTTTTCATTTGTAGCCCTACCAAAAAAAAAAAAGTTACATTAAGCATCTGCAATTAGCGATGAATTATGTAAAACAAATCTATTACCTTCAACATCAGGGTCTCCAAATGGATTTAATTCTGCTGTGTCAGGATCACCAAAAGGATTCGTACCTGCGTTGGCCAGGTCTTGCTCCTCTTCATCCAGAAAATTAAGCTTACTGATAAGCTCTACAAACAAGTTGGAATATTGTTTTAATACAGATACAAACTGTTCATCTAACTCAAGCTCAAAAAAAGCCTCTATCAACAGTTCCTCAAAACACTGCACCAGGGTATGGCACCAACTCCACAACTAAGCTAGCGCACTTCAGTAAGTACACCAACAAAGGAGAAAAAAAAAAGTGAAATGAATGAAACTATTTGCTGATCAGAACATTATGTAACAGAAATTACTACTAAGAAAGCCTTCTATTATCTCCATTAAATAAATGTTTCAGAACATCTAACAAGCTAAATACAGCAATTTCTTTTTGTTTGCTCACATACATGTTAACTATCAGCAGGAAATTTTTATTTTTGGATATAACATGCACATAAAATCAGAGAGGGGATATTTTGTCATGTTAGAGAGGTCAAGTATTACTGACTATACAACTAATGTTTTAGGCTTGGGGTCTGGGTTTTTCTTTGGTTTCTTTTTTTTTTTTTCTTTCTTCATTATCAGATGACAACAGAGCTGTGGAGGAGATAGGCTCTTTCTCTATCATGTTGTTACCTGTTGGATGCACTACAAATTACTGAGAGTCATGCTGGGTGGAAGCACAGAGATAAAACTGACAGCTGAATACAAGCAGAAGTCAAAAGGTAACAGGTCACAGTAAATACAGACAATCAGAAACAGAAAGAAAGAAGGAAAGCTCATAGACCTTCAGAGGAACTGGCTGATTTAGCTGAAGGCATATTTGCTCGCTTTATGCAGTCATCTTGATCTTCATCTAAGCTGCTCAGAGCATTCAACTGGTTTACAATTTCTGTAAATAGAAGCCAGTCAAGAGAAATGTAAGGCAAGGGCATTTAATGAAACAGAAGTGGAATCAACACTGTTACTAGAAAGAAAGAGAGTGAGGGAGAGAGGGTTAAAGAGAAGACAGGGTTAATTAAAAGAATACATTTAGAACAAGTCCTGTGTAGGTGCTTCAGAGATAATTTAAGAAGAAACCCAGTTAAATGACAAACAAAACCTTTGTGGATTCCTGGTGTCAGCAACAGTAATTAGTTTTATGAGGATGAGTATACACATCAGTTCAAAATTTAGATGTACTAGATATAATTTAAAGACTTTTCCTGCTTGTGAAGACAACCTGAATTTTAAACCATTGTCAATCAACACAGAACAGCTCCAGAACAACTTACCTCCCTCCCAAACTCTGAAGGCTGCAACACTAATACATGTGTTTTATATGTCTTATTTATTTATACACACACACACACACACACACACACACACACACACTCTGATTATTTAACACTTATAATCAGTCACCATTAAATTTTGACCTATGGCAAGTTGAATCTATATAATAGTTCTGAAAGCTGTGATCTGTATTGTGCCATGTGAACGCATACTGAATGTATATATCAGTTGCATTTGCCACTTAAATGCTATGCAAATAACACCTCACTGTTTGGTAAAATCCTATTTCACCTTCTATCCCTCGTGGAGACCTCTGAATTGCCATGAACTAATAATTTTAAAAATGTATTAATGTTTAATTCTAGGCAAGACATTGACGCCTCCATAATCCTTGAAGGAAAGAAAGAAGCAAAACCCAACTAGGTCTTAGTGGCTTCTGCCCCAAGGTGAAAAATTCCTCTCTGATCCCTCCCTAAAGTAGTCCCATACACAGCATCTGACAAATGCAGTTTCTGTGGTAATGCAGGCTGACTCTGGGTCATCTCTGGAAGACTTCAAGCACTGGTTTCTGTGGAGAGAGGACAGCCTTCCTCGTCCTTCCAGCTGACAGGCAGGAGAAACCTGTGCAGAAGAGATGATCCTGCTCGTTGAGTATCACTCCCCCTCTGACAGGTTTTTTCATCTCCCATTTTTTCCAAGTGAAATAAATGATGTTTTCTGGTGTCATCAATGAAGTTAAAGCTACGTAGATGCCTTTACTGCACATTTCTTGTGCCAATCATTCTTGGATTTCCTTTAAACTTCAATTTCTTGTGTATACAGGAAGTTATTTCTTCATAACACTTTGAGGTCACTGCTGTTTTGAACTTGATTTTTTCTCATAAGGCTTTTGTTTGGAAAAGCAAATGCTTGCCACTGACTCTCATACAGCAATGTTCATTCTATGAGCTAGTTACAAGGAGCAAGATAACAGACTGAGGTGAAAACTGAGTAGTACTTGACTGTCCCAACTCATGCTGGTGTCCACAGCCACCCAGAACTTCCTTAGCAGGGGGCACTTAGGCAACACCTTCACCAGTTGATACACTGACATAACTCTTAACTTCATGCTTCCACAGACAGCATAAAGAACCTGAAGCCAAAAGCCGAGTCCAGAATCTGACAATATTTCAGTCATATGATGAAAAACTTTTTTTTTACATGTTTAAACTGCTTTTCAAAAATATGCCAGTCTGCAAATCACCAAGTGAGATGATCTGTTCTGCCAATGTCCATTCTGCATGTCTATCTATGCTGACAATGACAAAGCCACAGCAGCATTTCTCTTAACTGCACTTCCTAATTGTTCTTGACCTTAAAGCAAAAATCTGCTGGATTACATTTATATCTATCTACACAGAGTTAATTTCACCATCCTCACTTCCTTATATTTAGTTCCAACAAACAAAATCACGGTCCTAAAAAGTAAGACCAAAACTGCCCCAAAACTCTTAACTTTCTCAGTATAAAAATCATATATACACCTTAAAGATCTGAACAATATAATACTATCTTCTGGGAATTTTTAAGACTCAAGACACACAATGGAAAATACCTTGCTGTACTCAAATAAAACAGAATTGACCTTATAAAACACTAGCACAAACAAATTACTAGTTTAAAACAAGCTGAGATGCTGACATGATTTACAATTTATTATGCCAGCATGTGAAAAAAAACCCAAACAATTACAATTCAGTTTTTATTGTCAGAAAATAACAAATTAAGTTCAGAGCTTTAAAAAGAGGGAATTCTTTGATGTGGTCTGAATCACCTGGTCCCATCTGCCAACCTAAACACCTGTATGCACTACAATGTTTCTCATTACAATATTAAATGGTTTATGTCATATTTTGAAGTGTGGAAATGGTAGGTTGGAGATTTATGTCCTTTATTATCTTTTATAAATCTCATTATCTACAAATGTATATTACCTTGTTCTACAAGTATGTCATATAAATCACCGGTTTAGGTTGGGTTTTTTTTTTCCCCATTCTTCTCTCTTGCTCTTTCTTTTTTTAAGCAGCTTGGTGCTACTGACAAAAAAGAGTAAGCGTATCAGAAGTATACATGAGATGTATGGTTTTGCAAACAGCAAGAAAGGGTTACACAGACTGCCCTCCAGAAGCCTGCTCTTGAAATAGTCTGGGATTCAGACTCCTGCAATAGGTAGCACGTGGGCATGTTGCTGTGTTCATGTGGCACCCCAGGACAGACACCATGCTCCTGTGCAGATGGGCAGGAGGCAACTAGTAGCTTCAGCATGAGGCTCTATGTATCAGTTAAAACGTTAAGAAAAGCAATGCTTTCATTACTACCTTAAGTTTGTGAGTTACGAGTCACATTTCTTCAAGTACATTGCGATGCCTTGGTTTTAGTTTAAGACTAAGGACAAGATAATTCTGGGAGGTTTAAATTAGTGTTAGAAACAAAATATTTGAAAGGTATTTCATAGCTACAAACATCATTCTCAACTTCACGCAAAACAGAACAGTTAGGTGGAGATACAGCTTTTACACATGAAAAAATCAGAGAAGACATTTTGGGAAGGAAAGGGGAAAAGCCTGAGACAGAGGAAGATTTTTTTTTTTATCAAAGTAGTGCTTTGAATGGAAAACATTATTCAGCCTGAACTTAAGGTCAGTTGTATGGCAGCAGCTCCCATGTTGGCTATAGCAAACTCCACAGTGCTTTTGAGGTAGATCAGTAACGCACCACATATTTCATAGCTGAAGAAAGAGAGGCACACTCACTCAAAGTTAAGCAACAGATCAAGGAAGAGAAGCAGCATTTCCTAACTCACCTGCACCATCTAGAGCCCCATTCAGCAGGTCTCCCTTGCTCTCCTAGCAGTGGATATATTTGTTCATCTATAAAACTGTGACTTTGGGCCCAACAACAACAAAAAAATTAACTTTTGTACACTCCAAGAAGGAATAGTGACAGTGATAAAGATTTGCAGCACCTCTTGCAGCTGTGGCTTGAGAATGACATAGTTTCAGTCATCAAGTCACCCAACATTTCTGTGAGAAGACTTGGAGTCAGAAGTAGGATAATAATCCCTTCTGATTTACTACTTGCACTTTTCTTATTCAAAGTTAGCTTACAAATATTAACCACGTAATACTCTCATCATTCCTGTGAAGTAGTTATAGCCAGTATCCCCATTTTACAGTTGGGAAAACAGGCGCACCAAGGTGAAGTGATTTGCCGGAGGGGACTCTGAGTCAGTGGAGGCATTCCAGTTCGCTTGGCTGCCAACACCCTAACACAGCAACAGATGAGAAAATGTTGGGAGCAGCAAGCTTTCAAAAGGGTTATGTAACTTCCTCAATTAACTTTATGGGATTCTGTGAACACAATTACTTTTTAAAAGAAATTTTAGAAAGAGTACTTCACTACATCAATTTTGTTCCATTTCCTTCATTCTATATTTCTTTCTATTTTTCTGCAATGATTCCTACCTCTTTCTCCCTCGGTTTCTCAGCTCTTCTCTTTGTGTTTTATTAGTTTTTCCTATTCATTATATTTATTACAGCAGTCTCTCCAACTGCTAGTGAAATCAGTCTTGAACTCATCTTGAAATAGATCCCTTACATTTTATTTATTAATGCTTACTTGCTGCCCTCTTTTACGTTCTCCCATTTGCTTGGGAAACTACATGCACTCCTTCTCCTTCAACATCCCTTTCATCCCTATCCTTGTCTAATGTGGGAAGTTAGTCAGGCTAATGAAGCAACTCAGCTGTTGTAGCCAACACAAGAAGAAAAAGTCCAAGGCTGACCCTTTCCCCCTCAGGTTCCCTTAACGATGCATCTACAAAAAACCCAATCCAACCCTCCCCTCTTGTATCATTACAAAACTATCGGAACAGGCTGAACAATGAGGAGATAGTATTCAGAAGTATTTATTGCATCTGCCTATCAAGTAGGTATTGTATTGTTTGCTTAGAACAGATAATTTTGGCCTTGACAACAACAGAGGAAAAAGCTGAAATGCCTTAATGTTTTAAATTTGAGGTAGGACCTTGTGTTGCACATCAGACAGCTCACCCTTCCCCATCTATCTCCAGGGATGTTCACTACATAGCCAAAGGGTAGTGGACAGACTAGTCTAACCTACATCAGCTTTCTGCTTGTTCAGAAATCGTCTGTTGGCTTGTTTAGATGCAGAATGCTGCAAAATCAGTAAAGTTGATGAGCAAGATCTGCTGTTTTTCAACTACTATCCTTCTGCACATGGGTTTTCCATAGCAGTCCTCAGTGCAATATCTAGAAATATCCTGATAAAACATTTCTGCACAACAGTTTATATAGATTTTACATAGGCTTTCCTTTATGTGCCCTTCTCTTCTCTGTGATTATTGGATGGCCTGATGAACACGTCAGGTTTTGTTTGGTGTTCTGACCCGCAGCTAAATTGTTCTGGTTACACTGGGACGGGAGAAGATGAACTTGCAGAATGATTTCAGTATGACTAGACTGGTATATCTCTGCTCCCTGACTAGGAATACATTATCTCTGTCTCTCAAATATTTAACTCTGGACTTTCCAATCTGCTCTGTGCCAGACACATGCAGCATAAGTAGAGATTTGGTCAGGGTACAAAACATTTAATTGAATATGTAAAGCATAGAGAAAACATATTTGCATCCTTTCACAACACTAAATATAACAAAGTAATAACTGCTTCAGGCTGAAGCATTTGATTGCAATGAAAGCTTGAAAAGAAGCAATGAAAGTAATGTTTCCTAACACCAAACCAACATTCCTCTGGATTTTCAAGAGCAGATTTGTCAGCTCACTTCTCTGCTTGGGACTCTCTTTACCACCTTAGAGAAGAATCCCTTTATATCAACAGAAATTTTGGAAGAGTACTGGCAGGCATAAAGGCTGGCATCAGAAGTTAATTTGTCTTTTTCTGATTCTTTTACACTAACAGTTCCTCCAAAACTCATCTGGAACAGTACTACATAACAACTTCTACCAACAATTTAACTTAACATCATCACATCCTAATCTGACTTGCATCGTTTAGTTCAGCTATCCTGGACACACTAAGAATTTTCATCAGCAATTCAAATGTAGTTATACTATCTCAAACAACCTTACTATCAAATTCTGTTTAAGTCCTTCAACAGCCTCCTGATTTCGTTTCCAGGAGACACCCCCAACCAAAAGGCAGAAGTATGCTGCCTGGAATTACCTTGTTATTGAGCAGAACCTCAGCACCTACCCATGGCACAACTCATTTCACAGTTATTCTCACAAACTGTCTTCATTATTTCACTTCAGCTCATTCTCTTATCTTCTTGCTCACTGACACTTTCCCTCCATCTTTTTACTCCTCTGTTCACATTGGTTCTTTGCTTCCCTAAAATGCCACCTACTGAGTGCATTCTCTCCTAAAAACAGGACACACACACACACACACAGATCAGTGCTCTTAAATTCACAAATATTAAACTTTATTAAGTTATGGTTGGGTCCATATCAAACTATTCTAAATTTTCTTTTGACTGAGATTTTTAAAAGGTTAAATACAAATATAGCATAAGGACAAAATCCATGGAACACAGCTGGCAATTAGCAAACGAACTGTATTTTACCAACACTGTGGCAAAACCAACCTGTAATTTTTGCAGCCTTTTCCTCTTGATTCACTCTGTTTTCTTCATCTTCTTCATTGTCTTCCTCAAAATCATCTAGATTTCCAATATCAGCTTGTTTCATACTCATCAAACTAGCCAGGCTTTGCATGTCTTCATCCCTAAATAACAAATTTCAAACCAGGCATTAAAATGCAGCCTGTTAATACCACATCTGATACTACCACATTATTAAAAATCCTTTAAATACTTTTATGCTTTCTTTTCTTCAGGGAGGTCTCTGATCTCAGATCTGATCTTGAATATAGTGAAAGAACAAAATGAATACACTCATGTATATTAATTTCTGAAGGGAAAGTATTCTATTAAGAAAATTCTAAAGGGTAAAAACAGTTCTGCCTTGCATTAAGAATCAATTTAATGACTGTTTCTTAAAAGTTTAGACCAGCCCAGAAATGCTAGTAAACACTTATCTGGTCATCTCTGGTTAAAGTGAAAATGTTTGTCTGTCCATATGCTGCATGTGACACCTATCACTACATCCATTCAGCTGTTACAGAAATTAAAATCCCTTTTCTAAATATCTAAATTCATTAACAAGACAAAAAAATTACATATCAGTGGCCAATTTAAATTCTTATTTGACTGTATTGCATATATATATATATCTTTCACATAACTGTACCTTTCATATTAAATATATTTTTGATGACAAGATAACAGCAAGCAAAGATTCAGGGAAATGGATGTTCTACGTTTGTTTCATAAAAACCCCAAGATTTTTGAAGTCCATGATGTCATTCTTGAAGAAACAGCAGTCTTTTCTCTTTTCAAACCATTTAAATAGTTTTATTGGGATTAATCAATTTTCTTTTGGCTCCTTACAGTAAGACAGACTGGGGCTTGGCTGGCTAGGGAGCACCTCGGCAGAAAAGGTCTAGGTACCTTGGTGAAGAGCAAGCTCAAGAAGAGTCAGCACCATGCCCTGGCAGCCAAGGGAAGCAAAAGCATCCTGAGACACATTGAAACAGGACCACAAGCAGTAGACTGAGAAAATTCAGTCATGACCCCCATTTACTTGGAGCTGTTGGACTGCATCTAGGGTACTTCATCCAGTCTTGGTTCTCACAGTACAAGAAAAGGTGTAGATAAACTGAACCAAGCTCAGCAGAGTGCCGTTGAAATGGTTGGGGACTGGAGCACTTGCCCTGTGAAGAGAGACTGAGGGAAATGGACTTGCTGAGCCTGGAAAAGAGATGGCTTCAGGAGGACCTAGCAGCAGCCTGCCAGCATTGCTGAGAAGACAGTGGTGCCAGGCAGGAGAATGAAAGGCAGTGGACACAGGCTGAAACCCAAGAGGTTCTGATCTAATGTGAGAAAAATTTGGAACAGTCATGAAGTGGTGGGATGAGTTGCCCAGAGAGGTTGTACCGGTCTCCATTCTTGGGGGTTTTCAAGGCCCAGTGGGATAAACCCCAGAGCAAACTGACTCATTTAAGCAAGAAGCTGGACTAGATACCTCTACAAGTCCCTTCCAACCTGAATTATTCTATCTTCTTTGAAGCTGATCATGACAAAACCAGATGCACAGATTTTGTGCCTAACAATCACTGTCAAGAAAACTATACAAATTATTTTAAAGGTAGCACTTACAGGAATAAAAGTGATTTACTAATCATGCCTCAAATCTGCACAGAACCACAGAGAGACACTTAAAACATGGGATTAAAGTTAGTAATTTAACATGTTGTTAAAATCAGAAATTCTTTGGGGCAATCATTTCCTACTGTGTGAGTTCAAAGTAATAAGCACTATGGCACCTGCAGTTACATAGGACAACTAAGTACTTCTATAAAAAGTAGTAATAAGAAAAACATAAAATAAGTAACTATCAGGAAGTCACAAAGACCTTTCCATTCATGCAGAATTCATCTTCCTGTCTTCATAACCAATAGGTTAAATCTGCTCTTTCACAGGGGAAAAAATGTAGCATCCTTAACCATGATGGACAGGCTCTTTTATGCACTAAGACAAAAAGCTGGGGGCAGTTAGCACGAGTTCTTGTATATCACATGTTCACGTATAATTTAGAATTAAAAGGTCTCCAAAGTACAATTTCTTTTTACTGTCCTTTCTGTATTTATTCTTTAGAATATTTTTTCTGTGTTTTGGAAATAAGATGATTCTTGGTACTACAGAGCAACAGGTTGCAGGATTTTCTTTATAAAATGCATAAAATAAAAGTGAATCTCACTGTATGGAACTACAACAGTCTATAAGAGATGTAAGGAAGACTTAGCCTAGCTTTTCTTGCATGTCAATGTATCTGACACCCAAACTCTCTATTTTGACTAGTAAGACAGTTTCTATTTACGCATACTGGAAACCAATGCTTTCACAAACAGCAGATTATTTTTTTATTTTCAGGCCCCTGGTTGAGGGCAATATTAAAGCCCTGCTGTTAACTTACAGTCTACCTGACTTACAGTCTTCAGCCTGAAACCTATTGATTTCAATGGGAAGAGGGTGTATGCGACCCTAAATGGATTAGCTTTTAAAAATTATGGCCTCAAAATCCACTAAGAGCCTAGTATAGCTATTTACTGTGTAGTTCATGGATGCTGGTTGTTCCAAAAAAAGTTGAGGTTATCAGATACCAACTTCTTCATTCCCATTTTCAGCTGCAATACCATGTTAAACCCCAGCTAAATACTTCAAAGTATCAATCTTATATAGGATGTCAAAATGCAGTTCACAACAGGTTAATCAAAGAAGGGAAACACTAATAGTAATTAATAGTAATTAATAGTAATTAATAGTAATTAATGCATCTGTGGCATTCACGACATGCAGATGAGAAGTCCTTTTGTGTCAAAATGTATGCTTTAAACATGGCAGTCTGGAAACCTGTTCACACAGCAGTTTTGGGGCAACTGCATTGCAGTGGGCAATGTCTACAAGTGCATTCAGAATACTGAAAGCTAGAAGTAAATAGCCTTTTTGGAGGGGGGGGGAAAAAAAAAAAAAAGCAAACCTTAAAAGAATCACTATAGTAGTTTCCCCATCTACCTATTTTTGTTCTGCCATTCTCACATTCCCATATTTTAGAGTCAGGAAGGAAAAGCAAAACAGGATGGGTGACAAATGATCCATCCTTCAGCCACATGGAGTTTTCACACAAAATTCTTGTGTTTAGCCCCAAAATCTTAATTCTGAGTCCACCCTCTCTCACCTCACAACTGGCTTTGTCCTTCTTTTATTGTTTGTGAAATATAACTAGGTGAAATAGTAATAAGTTCTCTTTCCCACATTTCCCTTGCAGTCTAAGGGAATTGTTGGACAAACGTGCACATGCACACAAACGTACACTCCTGCTGGTTTCAGACCTGTACATATTTTTAAGCTGTTGTTATTTAAAATGTCTGTAACAGTAGAGAACAAGCCATTTGCCTCTGAAGAACATAAGACTAAAATCAAAGTAGGAAATTACTTTTACTCAGCTAAGAAACTAAGTATGGCAGGAATTATAGGTATGCTGAAGGATACACTCAAACTTGTTCATTCTGTACAGAAAGAGCTCTTTATCCAAAGAATTCTTTGAAAAGCAACACAAAGCATGATATCTGGTTCAAAACAAAACCAAACAAAACAAAACAACAACTTACGTGGCTTTTCCTTCCCTCAGGAAAATACAAGATAAAGAGAACTGTAGTGTGGCAGACACCACTTTCTTAGACAAAGGCTTGAATTTTAACTTGACATCTGTCTGTGTAGGCATGGGGCTTGCATATTGCTTCATGTTGATGCTGCTGGTGGCAAGTGCTTTTCTGCGTCCAGAAGGAGATTCCTGAAAGCAAAGGAAAAACAAAACTAACATAAAAGTTCCTGTTACACTAAAACCTGTGTGTGCTTAAAACAAAACATACATTTATTAAATCTGCATCATTCTTTTTTCCAGTACCCAGGAAGCAGGGATTGCAATAGTCCTTGCTAGAGGCAGAAACCCATTTCTTAAACTAGATCAGCCACTAATGGTGGCTCTCTGAACACCTGTGTAGTGCAGTGGAGAAACAAAGGTTATTCACTGTGATTAGCAGTCTTCCACATGAGATTCTAGGTCTTTAATAGCTTGAGCTTGTAGCAGCATCCACGGCACACATCCATTTAAGTAAATGGGATATAACTCCATTCCTTCTGAGAGCAAGCTGAACTAGTTTTGTCTAAACATGGATAGTCCTGGACTTCCAACCTATGGAAGACATCTGTGTCAATTATGAATATATTACTTTACATAATGGTATGAGGCCATTCGGTTAATATTTTGAACTGCTATCTGTGTTCAATGCTCAAATATAATGCCTGAGTATTTTTCAAAGCAATGGTATTTCTCGCTAGTGTTGTACATGTACTATCAAGACTGACATGTTTCTGAAATTAAGGTTGACAATGCTGCCAAAATTACTGATAAAATATTTGCAAGAAATAAAAAGGTAGAAGAGAGAAAGATAAAAGCCTAAATCGTATTTCAAAAGCTGAAACTGCATTTCAAGATAAAGGTGTTGCTCACAGTTTAACAATTCAGACAAATTAATCTAAAATGCATCTAAGAACCTACTCTCTTGTTCCATCTAGTATCAGGATCAGCAGAAAAGGAATGATTATATGTAATAAAGCTCAAGTAACAAAAATAAAACAAAAAAGCCCTGCTGTTAACTCTTTTGAAAAATGTTCTTACAATAAGACTACATTTTACTGCAGTTGACAATTTGTATTGAATAAAGAATACTAATTCAATCAAAACATTCAAGCATCCTTTGTCAAAATACTTGACATTTCCGCCCAGTAGAATAAGTCAGAATGTAATATGTCATCCCCAAAGAATACCTTGTTTAAAAAACTAGCCTTATCTGTCAGATTATGCACAGCAATATTATACAGAACTATTAGTGCATGTAGATACCTTATGAATGAATTTCAAAAATGCATCAAACACTTGAGAAGGATTTAGGCCCTCTCAGAAGAAATACTTAAGAATATGCAAATACTCTCAACTGAATCAAGTTGAACAGATGCAACTATCACAAACAATATGAGTGCTCTTTCCTCGGCCGCGACTATCAATCAAAGAGCGAGATTAAGGTCCAAGGTTCTGACAATGTGTAAAATGGAAAGTATGATCAGGGAGTTTCAATTATTACACAGATATGAACAACAATAATCTGTTATTGTACCGTACCTTTAGAATAACTAAACATTACAACTCATTATGCCAAATACAAGATTTACTGTGGACCCTGTTCACAAAGAAATGAGAGAGAGATGGCACTTTTGCATGTTCTCCAGGTAAATGTACATAAGCACTTTGCGTTTTATCAGCAACTTGGTTCATAAAGCTAAACGTTCAATATTCATATTATGGTATAAACATGGTGGTCAGGGTGAATAGAAAGAAATTTTGCTTAAACCTCTTCCAGTTATTTAAGTATCTTTAGAGAAAACTGGCACATAAAATGTGGTGTGCAAGTATAAATGCAACTGGAATGATAAAAACTACTTGCTAATGCTAGTGTATGTGTTTTTCTGCCAAACAGAACAGGAGCAACCAGAAATTAAAAAGCAGCTTGAAGCCACATGGAGAAGACAAGGGGACAACAAGTACAAGTTCCACCAGAAGGTTACATCTCTATGTAAGACAGACACTTTTTACAGTGAGAACAACCACAACCTCCACAGGGATATGGTGGAGTCCCCATCGCAGAAGGTTTTCAAAATGCAACTGGAACGGGTGCTAGATAATCTCATTTAGGCTCTTTCCTACGACAGGTTGAACCAGGTGGTCCTTCTAGATCCCTTCCAACCAGAGCTTTTCTACAGTTGTATGATTCTAACTTTAATATGCCCTCACCTGAAGTCAGGCCAAAGGAAAACATTCAACTGGTGTGCTATAGTGGCTAGGAAACATTTGTCACATTTTGGATTTGACTCTTCTTTGAATCAGTTAGGATGAGCCTATGCTTGCAGACAAATGCCTTAGCTAGTTTTAAAATCTGTATTACCGTATCACAGTTATTATTGAAATTATAGTTAGCAACGTAACTCAAATGTGCGGAGAGGCTCTTCATTTGTTCATTATTTCCGAATTATACAATTAGATTTCCCTTAAAAAAAAAAAAAAAAAAAGTGTTGTGGGTTTTTTCTTTTCCTTTTTAAAGATGAATGTCTGTTGTCATGTCCTCACTCCCCTTCATCAATTAAAACACCCCAAAAAAGATCAAGTATATCTATACCCAGTGAGAAACAGATCTTAGATGAATGTGGGTACTTGCTTCAGCCTTCCAGATGAATCACTGATCAGCCATACCATGCCTGTATTCTCATGTACTCTTCTCAGTTTGACAATGAAAATCACTTCCCAGCAGCTGTAAACGTCCCCAGTTTAACAGAGACCTAGATTATTTCCTTGTGTGGCTACCGATGTCTTCTGAGGGCTGGCTCATGTGTTACAGACACCCTGTGCTACAACGGCAGGCAGCTGTGTGCCAGTACAAAGGGGAGAAGCCAGCCGTGTGCAAGAAGATTCTCTTACTAAATATCCTGAGGTGCTGTGAAGAGTAAGACGATTAAGTTCAGTCTTCCTCAGAAAGGAATGAATTTCATAATCTTTTTGTGGACCAAAGACAGAAGTTGACTTTTCAGGTTCCAACTGCCTATAAAAATCCAAATCTGTAATTTTATCATATTCAAAAAACCCAAACACCACCCACCACCACCACCCCCAAAAAAACAGACAGTCCCTGATCTTTCAAGTTTTATTTTCCTTAACATGGGAGTTTAAGTACATCTTCCTACTCTCCCAGAAAATTAAGCATGTTGGAAGTGTTGCAGTATTTTCTCCTTTTAAGCTTTATAGGCTTGGCCTTACATGGTTTTAGATAAATCAGTAGAAAGGGGGAAACTTCTTTTTTGCCCCCCAAAAGGATATTCTCAAGGTGCTTAGATCCATGACCAATTTCACAGTGGATTATGTTTTCTACTCTGACACAAAACCAACTTTTAAAAAATTGCCTTTAAATGTCAGTACCTGCTAATAACTACTTCTTACAAAGGTTGTATCATTTTTTTAAAAGACAACTTATATACTTCATATAATACAATTTGAATTACCCCAGAACAACAGAGAAATTTTCTTGCAGAAGAATAAATAATTCTTACATCAACAGAGCCAAAATAATCAAAAAGAAATATCTATGAATGGTGTATACAGGAACAGCTCAGGAATAGGCTGGAACAAGTTATTCCAAACAGAAGCACACTTTGGTAAAATACTAAATAACATCCATTTAATAGCGAAAGTCTGATCTGGTGTTACTTGTGTCTCATATAAGCACATGGCATTCTGTGGAAGGTAAAGCAGAGTCCCAATGCAAATATTTTAATTGCTCAACTTTTCTGATTTTGACTATATAATCAAAGTTCAAAACACATAAGGCTGTTATGCCTCCAGATATTTTACATACGTGTGACTGCCAGAGTTGCCACATTACATTTTGTAGAAGGGTGAATGGAAAAGTCAATATTGAAGTCACAGGATCCATGTGATAATAGGTGACAAAATACAACTCTTAATCATCAAGATACACAATTCTGTAACAAAATGGTAATTTGGAAGCTCTTCACTTTAAGAAAGGCAATGCATTATGGAAATAAAATCAACTATGATATTTGAATATCACAGAAAGATAGAAGATAATCTACAATACCGGTAACATACAAATACCTCAAGGTTATCTTTCAGGTTAAACATACTACTGTGTTTGAAAATGGGCACTATTTGGTTCATAATATGATGCGTGGAATACTGGTTAATAATCCTTTTTTGATGTTTCATGTTTGTTACTGTATAGTTCTAGCAAGAGAAGCAGCATATCAGAAAAAAGGAATCCTTTTAGAAATGACCAATAAATTATTAAAAAATAACTAGTTGGCATATTAGCAGAAACTACTCAAGCCTATCTTCCTGCATAACAGAGTAACAGCTGTGCTGGGCTGATCAAAGGCTCTGAGAAACCTGTATATTATTTATTAAGTATATTGTTTTCAAACCAATCATTATACTTTCCTTAAAGAAGAGTAAAAACCACACATAAACATATAACAATACCTCTCCAGAATACTGTCCTGTGCTGGGGAATTCCTGCTTTTGTATTCTACGTTTTTATGACTAAGGAGAGTAAATCTCCTCCTACTTACTCCCCTTAGTCCCTGAAATGCTGTCAGGGTACACTATATTTCGGGTGAAATAACCCTATCTGTCCATGATGCCAAGCTGTATCAGCTTGTCCACAGCTGAGGAAGCAGCAGAATGTGGCGTGTGGCTGGCTCTACACTATCTGATTGGGTGGTCGATATGTGTGTAACTGATACTTGATCCAGGTTGATCCTGGTACTTCAAGAAACCTAGCAAAATATTCCAAATCTGGAGTAGGGAAAAGAGTTCAAAGCGAGCAAAACAAAAATTAGTATAGACAATATGAACACCTCCTAATATCCTGGAGCACTTTGACTTCTGAATTCAGATACACAAATATGTAGAGCAAGCAATACTATGTAAATCAGTAAAAATTGCATTGCTTTTCAGTACAGAATATTAGTAATAATGAATTCAGCTAGTTTTTAATTTCTAAGCACACTGTACAGACTTTAAAACTGTCACCTCAGATACCACCCCTGGTGCCGTTACTGATGTGTCTGTTTCTAACCGACTTCTGGCCTTTAGTGTGGCATCAGTACACATGGTTTAGGAGCTAGCATGGATCTGTGAATGCAACATACAAGTCAACTGGAACC